ACTGGATATATCCACTTTATGCATCTGTAGGTATGCTGTGAGTAGTGTGAATTAGACAAAAAATCATGGGAGGCCTTATTAAGTTATCAACTTTGGGTTATTACAAATAAATTTGTCTGACTTTGTTTTCGCAAATTGGTCATAATGGCAGGAAGACCTAGAGGAACGTACCTTGTTCGGTGTCCATAGTTTGCATGATAATTCCCAAGTCCACGTTTAGCATCAAACAACAGACTGACCTTCGTTATATATTGCTTTAGCTACATACACGTATTGACATTTACCTACATAACAATAATTATATACCTGTTTAGAGTTAATTATTTGTATGATTCATTTCTTATCTCCATGGGGCCAATAGAGTTATAAAACATTTGCATGATTTGGGAAAATTTTGTCATTGTATAAATATGTTGGAGGTTCTGAGCAAAACCAAGCACTTTGAGATACTATGACTCAATGCACATGAATAAATATGCCTTTTTTCTTATCACGTATCTTCCCTGCAATTCCCCCAGCTTGGAAGCTTTTATTCTTTCAGAGATGAAATCTACTAATCTTTCTCGACGAATCTCCGCTATCTTACGCTTCTGCCAGCTTTGGCATCTATTACGCGCTAAGCCCGACTCAAACCATTTGTCGAGCCTGGTCTCGGACCCCAAAAAAGACACTCGATCTTCCTCCATATACTTACCTAAAGCTGTTGATTCTAATTCAACTCTGAATCCATCTACCGACCTCCTCTACCGCATAGACACGACTTTCCTTGTTGGCGTCAAGAGGCTATTGTGGCCTCCTGGAATATCAGAAGGGAATCGGCACTTTGTTGGGGCCGATAATTCTGAACCAGCTGCCTCAGCCTGGCGTTATTCGGCTGTCCAGATGAACGCTGACTGGCGAAAAGAGGTACAACTCACCAGCAGTTTTCAACTTTCTTGCAGCCGTCTAGTCTTTAATAGGTAAACATGTGTTCTTCTTACCTACTATTTTCTATCTTGTCTATCAATAAATTAGCGAAAGTATTATTTTTATGAGGGTAATGAACTCAGGCAACTACAAATAACTTCGTTGCTATACATTTTCGTTTTGACTCGGTGGTATAGTATTTGTTCCTTTATTGTTACCTCAAGATTTAAATATATAATTTAATCTTTATTTAGGCTATATGTTTTTTATATACTTTTTCAGCATTTATATTTTTACATCCTTTTAATTGCAATTAAACTGCAAACAGTTATATGAGATATACTCACCCTATTTCGTTTAAGATGATTAAGGACTTGTATTTGAAACGAAATAGAGTGAATACATCTAATATAACTGACTTACTGGTAGTCTCGAAGCCTAACTTATAAATGTAAACAGTTCTATTTCATGTCTATATTTATATTCGTATGTAAGTAGGGTTTCGAGACTACCAGTAAATCAGTGTAATGAGATGTATTCACCCTATTTCGTGTAAGGTAAGTAACGTTGTCGATTGCTATAGCAAACACCCACCAAAGAATATGATATAGCAGAGGCCTGACCTTCCTTGAAACTCACTTATGCCCTGTGACTAAGGGTACTCGTGGCAGTGTAGCCGAGTCGTTAGCATGTCAAGCTACCGTCCTGTACTGTCGCGGTTCGATTCCCGTTGAGGGTGTTGATAAGACCGATGCGAGATCGAAACTGCAGTCCACCCTGGATGAGAACAACTTTTGGTAAAGCAAGGCTATGTGAAATTCA